TATCATAGTAAATTTTTGTGTTATTTACGTTTTTTACAATTTCTTATGTTTTTCGCGTTTGTTTTGTTACACAAGATCCTGTGATTTTATTGGGTCGGAAGTGATCTTCAGCCCGGGATTTTCTGGACATAAGGGTACCCGTTTATAATAGGTACACAGTATCACGAGATGATCTACAAAAATTGGCCAATCACAATGAAAGTTCTCTATACTACTAATATATGGATTTTGACTGAGACAATCAACATTCCCTAAGTTATGATGCGCCATTTTAATAAATTCCTGTATAATGAGATGCATCGGAGCAGAGGACACCAAAATCCCGGGCCGGAATACCTCGGATTCATGATCGTCAGGGTCGGAATTAACAAAAGCTTTTGGTCCAGAAAGGTTAACTTGTATTGCCAAACGCCTGCCTAAATCCGATGGATCCGACCCGTAAGTTTGGTGATCCTATATTTTTATTGGTTATTTTTACTATATTTTTGTTTATTTTATTTGCATTTTCTTTTTCGATCAGGCTCAACGATATCTAAATAATGCTTATGGCATAATTGGTGCCCAATTGATAAATAAGTATAAGTGGCGTAGGTTCTTTTCTTTTGAGCTTTTTCGTATGCTAGTGCAGTAAATTTGCGAAACCGACCTATTTTTGTATCACAGTTTCGCACCGAACATGTGCCCTCATTTTTGTGGAGCCATTTTAATAAATGCTTAATAGATATATATATTTGTTTTTCTTGCGTGTGAAGTTTCAAATATTATAACACGTTGATAGTGTGTTTATTGTCTAGTGCAAAAGTAAAGGATACTCGGTGTAGAAATGCTAATGTTCTTCGCTATCTGCACGTGTAATGTGATCACTGAAAATTCGAATATTCTAGAATTTTTGGATAACCAATTAAATTATTCAATTACATGTAAATGACGATCTTTTTTTTTTTAACCAATAAAATCGAACTTGCTCTATGCTAAAAAGGTAACTCTAAACCTTGCTCCGCTTTAAGGTGTGCCAATCATATTTACCCTAATATCAGCCAATCAAAACAGACTTCTGCTATGCTGATCAAAATAATTCGCGTAAAGTCCTCTCTCTTTCACGTAATTTTTGTAGCGAAATAAAATTATAGAATCATAATGACTAATCGTAAAGATTATGAAATCCCAATTACCGACGAAAATGACGTTTTGCAGATCACAGCTTTGGGTGCTGGAAACGAAGTTGGAAGATCTTGCCTAGTGATTCAATACAAAGGCAAGATAATAATGGTACTATAGATTTTAATGCATGCAGTCGATAATAAATAGCATTCATAAAGTTTTGTTTAATAAACGACATTATAGTTTTCATGTGCAGTTACTTTTATTATAACAAAAATAATAAAGATATGTTTACGATTTCGTAGCTTGACGCGGGTGTCCATCCTGCATATAATGGCCTTGCGGCCCTTCCATTTTATGATGAGATTGATCCTGCAACAGTTGATGTGTTGCTTATTAGTCAGTATGTTTATGTTATCCTGCTTAAATTTCATTGATAAGTACGTTTACGTTTTTATATCTAAACATTCTTTTTGTCATGATGGTTCGGTGAAATATTAGTTTTCATTTGGATCATGCTGCTTCTTTACCATATTTTTTAGAAAAGGTATGTCTATTGATTATCGTGCACGTTCATGAATGATGGTATTGACAGAGAATTCTATTAAAATTATATTTTTAGACAACGTTTGAGGGACGCGTGTTTATGACTCATCCAACAAAAGCAATTTACAAGTGGTTATTGTCTGATTTTGTGAGAGTTAGGTGAGCCTAAGAAATGTAAATAACCGTTTCCTGTTGACCATGTTAAATAATCATTATGGTTTGTTTACAACTTAGCAATGTGGCATTGGATGAAATGCTCTATGAAGAACAAGATCTTTTGCATAGTTATGACAAAATTGAAGCTGTTGACTATCATCAAGAGGTCGAAGTTGAGGGGATAAAGTTCACAAGCTATAATGCTGGTCATGTTTTAGGTGCTGCTATGTTTCTGATCGAGATTGCTGGAGTCAAGGCAAGTTAATTAAACTAAAGTATTACCCATATTTGTTTCCTATAATTAAATACAATTTAATGACAGATTTTATACACTGGAGATTATTCGAGAGAGGAGGATAGACATCTAATGGCTGCAGAACTGCCTCCTGCACAGCCAGACGTATTGATTACAGAATCTACTTATGGTGTTCAAAACCACGAACCGCGTCTCGAAAAGTATAAAGTGTTTAAATATCATGTCGGTTTCTAAACCTTCGCATTATTATTAAAGCCTCATTTATTTTTATCTGTTATTTAGGGTAAAGACTATTTTACTAAATTTTATTTAGTTGTTGAGATTAATTTATTTTTATTCGTTTAAATGATATAATTAAAGGAGGCGCGATTCACTGGTAAGGTTTCTTCTGGCTCACCAAATAAGGATATTCAACAAAGCATGAAAATAACTTTTAGGTTTTCTAATCAAATCATAAAAAGGATTGGTTCATGATATAGTTCAGCGCGGCGGTCGTTGTCTTATGCCTGTTTTCGCGCTGGGACGTGCTCAAGAGTTACTCTTGATTCTTGATGAATATTGGGAAGCACATCCAGAATTGGAATCCGTTCCCATTTATTACGCATCTTCTTTAGCCAAAAAATGTATGGCAGTTTATCAGACATATATAAACATGATGAATGCCAAAATCAGGAAACAATTTGCCATATCCAATCCTTTTGTATTTAAACATATATCAAATTTGAAGAATATGGACAACTTTGATGATGTAGGGCCTTGCGTAATGATGGCCAGTCCTGGTATGTTACAAGTAAGTTCATTACTCTCTATCTTTATCGTCAACTATTCGAAACAATTTGCTTAATCAAGCTTTCATAGAGTGGATTATCACGTGAATTGTTTGAAAGATGGTGTCCCGATAAAAGAAATGGTCTGGTTATCACTGGGTATTGTGTTGATGGGACCATGGCGCGGGTATATTGTTATATTTAAGCTTTCATGGTAACTTGTTTGCATTATTGCACATATTAATGTTTTTTATGACATGTTTACGATATATAGCACGCGATGACAGAACCACCTGAAATAACAACATTGTCAGGTGCTAAAATTCCATTAAATATGTCTGTTGATTACATATCTTTTTCGGCTCATGTTGATTATATACAAAACAGTAAATTCATTGATGAGATTAAAGCCCCTCATGTGGTGAGTTGTATTTTATTCAGATTGAACATTTTCATGTAGTGGATAGGAATAGTACATTATAATGAAATACGTAATAGGTTCTTGTTCATGGAGAATCTAATTCAATGGCTAGATTGAAAGCTGCTTTACAAAGCAAGTATACTGAACGAGAAGAAAATATTAAAATTTATTCTCCAAAGAATTGTGAAACTGTCAAGTTATATTTCAGGGGAGAAAAATTGGCAAAGGTACTCAATAATTATAATATATGAAATTCTCTTGATTCGATATAAATAAATATATAACCTTGTTTTACTGCTATTTTACGTAATAAGGCTATAGGTCGCTTGGCAGCAAGATATCCTAGTGAAAATCAACTTGTATCTGGAATTATTGTATCTAAAGATTTTCAATTCAACATTATGGATCCTAATGATCTTAAAGATTTTAGTGGGATTTCTACTTCTGCGATAATTCAAAAGCAGACGATTGCGTACCACTCTTCTTTCTCTCTGTTAAGGTATCATCTGGAACAGATGTATGGCCCACTTGAAGAAACTTTAGATGACGATAACGTTCCCACTTTTACCGTAAGTTTAACTTATTATTTACATTTAGTAGAATTTTAATTTTAAATTTTTGTTTTTTTTAAAAAAAAAGATTTTGGATAATATTAAAGTGAGACATATTAGCAAAAATCAAGTTCAACTTGAATGGCTGGGTACTTCCATGAATGATAATATTGCAGATTCTGTACTAGCAATCTTGCTGAACATTGAAAGCAGTCCAGCATCCGTAAAAAGTAATTCTCATAATTTCTTAACGATTAATAAATATAAAATTTCATTAACAATAAATCAAATTATTATAGTTACGAAACATTCACACGTGGTCGAAAGCTCTAATAATCCTATGAAGACTGGTGATCAGATGGAAATAGATATGGAAACTAAGAATACATCAACATCATTACGAGAAGCTACTGAAAATTATTTAAGGAAACAATTCGGTGAAATATATAGTAAGGACGACTCCGAAGATGAAATTATCATTAAAATGGATGATCGTATTGCAGAAGTCAATCTTAGCACTTTAGTAAGCTATTGGTTCAATTACTATTGATTTATTTGTTTGTACTTTAGTGACGACGTCGTTCTTTTTGACTTGTAATAGGAAGTCAATACAGATGATGATATGTTAAGAAACAGAATAACCACAATTCTACCTCGTATTACCAAACTTTTAAATCCCTTGGAATTTTGTCCCGAATATTAATAATGATTAATATATTGTTTCCAATATTTTTTAATACCCCGATAACATTTATTGAATAGTAAAATTAATGGTTTGATTATATACATTAAGATTTGTATTTTATTATGAAACCATACTGTCAAATGCACCTACCCTAAGTCTTACTTGAGGGCGTTTTGCTATAGCAGCTGCTAGTCCTTCAAGAGTCAAATCAAAATTGTCCAAATGATGAAATGGCAGCTGATCATTATAAGCATTACGTATATTAATATCCTCTAATTTTTCTAGTTTATGGATTATGTTTTTAATTGATGCATCATTTACGATTGATGATGAATTAGAGGTTATAACAGTAAGATCAGTAAGATTAGGAAAAGCTTCCAAAAGTCGAATTAATCCAGTAGATGTAAACTTATTGCCAGAATTAAATGTACACGACTGCACATAAGAAAATGATTTCAATTTTGGAAGTAAAGGAATATTGTAATCATTCATTTTATCATTCTTTAATAGATCGATGGTCTTTAATAATGGTTTGTCATCCAAATCGCAGTTTTTGATTGTCAAAGTCTGCAGAGTTTTTGCGCAGATTCCCTGAATAATAGACTTAAAACAATTTATAGTATATTATTACATACATCATATATGTTAGGGCATTCAATTATAACGCACATACAATAACTGTGGTACTTGTTACTTGTCGACACCATATTGTTAGCTCGGTGAGAGCACATCTTTCAGCAATATTCATGATACCATACCCGTGAAAATATCTTGATTCCTTGTGTCAAAATATTCTCATGTTAGTGAATAAAATAGTCAACTTAAAAGCAATTAATTAATATATCTTTTTCATGATGCTAACAAGAGTAAGTTTCTTAAGATTCAAGCAATATTGCCCGATAGAAAAGGACAATGCATCACTTAAAAAAGGTGATGAACCATGTAATTCTACTTGCTCCAAACTATCCCCGAATTTTGCAAAATAATCGGTCAAAGTTAAACTTTCATGACAATCGCGCCAATCTAATTCCAAAGTAAATGCTACCAATCTCCAAGATGTATCAATACTAGTAAGCTTAAGCAATAAGCTTGCTAAATCGAATGACCGAGATCTCGAAGAAATTCTATTTGTTCTGGCAACAATACGTAAATCTCTTATATAACTTGCATATGGTAGAGTTTGGTTTGGTGAAGTAAGCACGTTGACAAACTTTTGTAACTGTTCAAAATATAATATTTGAACCTCCTTCCAAAAAAAGGGTATCGCGTTTCTAAAGAATTGAGAGCTAACTAATAAACAATTCCGAAGGTGATCTCCCACTTCAGTGTGGAGTAATCTGAAAACTTCATACCAAATATCGTCTGCAAGATAAGCAGAATGAAGGACAGACGCCTGCTTTTCTACCATCTGTAAAGAAAACTAAAAAAATTTTTTTGAAGAATTTGAAAATGTTCATGTGATTGATAATTTATAGGTGCCGATTTTTGGTGCTTATATTGTCAATTCTGATTGGCTAATTTTTGTATAATTGATTCTGATTGGTTAAAAATATATTTGTTTTTTTTTTATATTAAACGAAGAATTTTACTAACTATAACCGGTGGTGACCATCACCGGGCTGCAATATCTCAAAAATGGGACTAAGAAACAAGGGTCAGATATATTAAGTAAAAATGTTCAAAACCTACTTGTAACTAAAATTTAAACCTTTATATCTGACCTCTGTCTTACCCTAAACCTGTGAGGTGGTGATGATCACTACCGGTTATTTGTATGTAGTAAAAATCTTAAACGAACTCAAACTTTATAACTTTTTTTTTTTTTTAAAAAAGTGAGGTCTTGCCTCGGTTTTTTTATTGATTATTAATATCTAAATACATTTTTATCTGTAGTACATATTATTTAATCTCTGAAAGCTAAAGTTTAAATTACTTTACCTATGATTCAGACTTTGCTAAAGAGGGTCAAAGTCTTCATTTAGTCTATGATTATGTTGATATAGTTTGGTGAGGTATTGTGATTTATAAACATTTTTCTTTATATTTTAAGTTTAATTTCTGTTCTCAATTTAGTTAATTCTGTATTGTATATGTCTGTTATTGCTGTTGAGATTGTCATTTAGTCTTCATTATCAATTATTATTTGTGAAGTATTTGATTTTGGTAGATTGTTGTACTGTTCCTTACATCATGTTATCCATATTTCTTTATATATTTTTTGTACAATTTTATATATTAAGTATATTAATAAACTATTTTTTTTTTTTTTTTGCTAAAGCCATACTTGTGGTGATATTTTATTAACTTTATATTAGGTTAGTTATTACAACTATTTTTACAGAGATGAGAGTACAGCTAGTCACATGTGCAACTTTTGGTTGCCTATTTAAGTAGTCCACCCTAAGGTTCTATACTAGATGCCATATCTATAACCTACTAGGAGATTATCCATTTAAACCTTCTGATCATTCGTCTTGTTATATTGGAATTCTCAAACTAACCCTCCATATATACCTACCTGGTATACCATCTGAGCAGTATGGTATCTACCTTTTTTGTACTGGTTTCTAGGCTGTTACACATTTCAGAATATATCACCTGCCAGTAAGGCGCAAGGGGTTCTCTGTTGTTAACTATCTACCCACTTTTAGAACACTAACATGGATTATCCTTACAGAGTTTATTCAGACCTCAGTACTGACTTCACAGCATATTCCTAGTACTTTTAGTATATTCTTGTTTTGAACCCAGACTCCCAATCCAGATAGTCCGAAAGGACTGTGATCTGTTCTTGGTATATTAAGGCTGGTCCAATATCCTTTTCCTCTGGTCCGAAATCCGGTGGCCTGATTGGTGGTACCTTTCATTCAAGATTCTTGCCCACCTGAATCCTTCACATTAGTATTCATTTTCTAGGTCTAGTCTTTACAGTAATACCATCAAAGATCCATGTTACCTCTTTGCTCGGAATTTCCAAGTAGGTTTTAGCTTCCCAGTTCTATAGATTTACACAGCTCAAGAACTTATTTTAGGTTTGCACTGCCTAGTACTGGTTTGCATTTTTCCGTGTAACAGGTTACACAGATGTCTTGGACCTGCCAGTTATGCTAGTGTGACCATAGTTACAGGTATCCTATCCCAACTGATTAACAGAATGCCATTGCTATAATATCATCTATATATTACATAGGTGATTATTCAAATTTCGCCATCAGTGGGTTTTGAACTCACAACCTACCACTTGGAGGTATGACAACTTATCCACTTTACTAAGTCACCACACCCTAATAAACTGTATTTTGGTTTTGATATTTTTGATATTTTGTTAATGAATCTTGTATTGTTTTGAGAAAACATTTTTAGTATAACTCTTATTAGTTCTGTTTGTAAATTAGTTAGGCAAATGTCTTGGGTTATTAATGTTATAACTCAATGTTTTGTTTGATTATCTGTTACTTTATATTTGGTTAGAGTTTTGTTAACTGTTTCTGTTATTATTTTTTGTAAGCTTGTGTTATTGCTATTGCATGTTATCAAGTAGTAGTTACTTTTTGTTATTGCTTGGTACGTTTGGCATATTAGATTATAGTACTTTTTTTTGTTATACTTTTAATGTTGGCAGCTTTTTTAGTAGTAATTTTAGATTAAATATTTTAAATTAAGAGTATTTCAGATTTGTTTGTCTTTGTGTTAATGAATATTAATAATTTAAGTAATTGTAAAAGGATTTTCAATCTATGTTTTTGTAAATAGTATCCCATATTTGAGTTCTGCTTGTAATTGTTAGTATGCTTTGTGATGTGCATTGTGAGTATGATGAATAAAAATTTTAATATTATATTTAATAGAAGTATTTTGCCAAGTAAGATATAGAATGTTATAACATATATTTTTTGTAATTTATGTTTATTTTTACAGTATGAGAGTTTGTGTTTATAGTACATATTATAAAATCATTTATTATAAATATGTAACTTAGGTCTTTTCTTATGATTAATACTTTTTATGTTAGCCAGCTTGACTAATTGTTTAGATAATGTATTTGATATATATTATTTGTTGTAGTTGCATAAATTGTTTTAGCTAGTTTTGTAAAATAGTTTTTGTCTTTAATGATTTGAATTCTTGCTTCATTTGGCATTATTATTGAACTAAGTATTAAGGTTGTAATAAGTGTTTTAGTTATTGTAAGCCATCCTAATAATGCTGTTTTGAACTGCAGTTATAATAATAGAATTTCATATATTATTATATTTTGTTGTGTATTATTAATTATTTGTTGTTTTTGAATTAGTTAAAAGATAATATCTTTGTATTGTTTGCACTTTTGTTGTAGCTTTTGTAGATATTTAGCTGTTTCTAAATTTTTTATTGCATCTTCTGCCAGCTTGTATTTTTTTTTAAATATTGTTTTGGTTTTGTATTTTTCTAGTTAGATTGTATACAATTTGTTTTAAGTCTTGTATATTTGCTTTTAAAGATTTTTTACTGTCTATCAATATTTTTTGAAGATTATATAGTTTGATTTTATTTATACATTTTTCTTTTTTGAGATTAATATTATTCAATTGGCATCCTGTACATAGCTTTAGCTTATTAGCTATACTGTCTATAATTCAGTAATTGATTGTTGCCTAGTTGTTTTCTTTTTTTTTTTAACTATTCCTGATGCATTACATCATGGGGCACGTGTGGTGCTCTAATTTTCTTTATTAACTTTAATGTTTGGAACCTACAGGTTTACATATTTAGTTGCTATGTACATCACCAATGATGTTTCCTAGCCCCACCATACTATATTATTAACAAATTTATCACTATTGTGATAACCCAGGTCCCTGGCCCCACAGTGTAAGACCTCTTACTCGAGTTTGCAGTTCCCTATTAACAATGGTCCTTTCAGGTTTCATCTCTTTATCTTTATTGCCTTTTACAGTAATTTTCTAATCTGGGTTCCTTATATTAATAACATTTCTTGTCAGATTATCTCCTTATCTGGGCATCATGTAACCCTGTGGCTATATCACTTAACTTGTTCTTGCTGTAGTACTTTGTCCGAAATTGAAAGTAGGCAATCTCTGTAGATCATTCATTCTTGTAATATTCTTGTTCAGAAGTAGAAGTGAGAAATTCCTTTAAGTTCATAACAATCATGGTCCCAGCACAGCTTTTTCTTCCAGTTGGAATTGAACTGGCAACCTTGCAAATGCGACCTGGGAGTGCTAACCACTGCACTATTGACCCGCAGGTCCCCTAGTTGTCTTTTATAAATGATATTTGTCCTATATATCTACCTGGTGTATTCTTTTTTATTGCCCATGATGTCTTTTTAAGTATTTGATATAAATTAAAAGATAAATAGATTTGAAGTAATAAGGTTGTAGTTGTTGTTACTTAGGTTTTGTTTTATGTTTTCTGTTATAAGTTTGTATTATTTAGATTCTTTTTCTCTGAGTATATAATATTATGTATGGTATTTGTGTTCATGTTAGTATGTTTATATTTTTATAATTTGTACATTGTTCAATAGAATGCAATTTGATTTTGTTAAGCTTGGCCTTGATTAAGTGTAGTTTGTTTATTTGCTAAAGTACTATATTTATTGATATGCTTTTGTGTTTGCTAGTTTTGGCTAGTTGTTATTGTTGTTCAAAAAGACTATTCCTGTTTTCTATATACTATATAACATTTTTGCTAATGAAGTTTTTGATTCTTTTTGTAACAAAATATATATGCTATTGGTTAATATTGACTTATTGCTATAGGTAGCATTTTAAATTTGTTAGATGCATATTTTTAGTATTGGGTTTAAAAGTTTAGCATAATTGAGCTGTTTGCATATAAATAAAGTGTGCTGCTATATTTGAATGTTTGCAATAGTTTATAAATTATAGATTTAATGATGAAATAGTGTTGAGTTAGGTATTGTTTGTGTGAGGCCAGCTTTGTGCTTTACTATTGCTGTATAGTAGTTTGTAATTAATTTATTTAGTTGAGTAGACAAGTAAGTATTTTGTACTCTGTATGTTATTTGTTTTTTTTTTTGTTTTTTTTTGGAGTTAAGGTGAGGTCATGCCTCAGGTCTGTTTATTTGAACATATTGTTACAGTTTGTATAACTTTT